GCAAAGTACGTATAAACATAATTTTCCCTAGTCATTCCTGTGTGAGGTATCCTGATATTTCCAGAAGATTGTTTTCACCTTATTTGGATGTTGGTTCAAACAAGTATAAGAAAAAAAATGTTTATTCTGATGACTTTCCAGAGGAGGAAAGCTAGTTGATTCATATAAATCACTGTCTTTTCCTCTTAAATCATTTAGATGAGTTACTGTCCTTATCCAAAACAAAACAAATTTTTCATTTGCAGTTGGAAATGAGAGTTTATAGTAATTTTGTATTATTTAAGAGAGTGCTTCAGCTTACTCAAGACTAAAATGTTCTGGCAGTGTTTTTGAGGTTAATTGCATTGCTCAGGCACAAAAGTGGTTTGTGAGTAGTTCATGTAGAATTAAAACAAAATGAAGTTCTTATATATACAAGCACCTAATTCATTGTATTAGATTTTTCATCCTACGTGAATGTTTATTTAATAATCCTTTTCTTTTTCCTTTAAAGCACTGTGAAGAGTAGTGAGCCTTGTGAGTCAGGCGGTGTATGTTTGGGTTCAGCCTGATAGTAAACAATCTGATTTAACCAGAGGCAGGGCAAAGGAACATTCCTGGAGCAAGACAAGCATGACAGATGGGAAGATATCAGATGGCAGGGTTAAAGGTCCCTTGTGGATACTTGCACACCATCAATGTGTGACACAAAAGCCCTAGGTTCTTATCTCCCTTCCTTTTTTATTTCAGGTCTCCCACCTGTTTAAGAACATAGATGTTCAGGGTGTGCATGACACAGATTTTGTTGCAAGTTATAAACCTCATCACCCATTTAATTTTCACTGCACCTGCTATGCATTGGAAGTCTGAAAGCTAAAGGCCTCAGAGTGAAATTAATTAGGAGTTGGCTCACCCTGTCTAGTCAGAAGCATAAGCATGGGTCTCATAAACCAAAGAAAAAGGCGACATTAATATCTTCAGAGTACCTGCTAATATGTAAGGGTTCAGGAAGGCTCTGTTGGCTGACTGCAAGAGAACCCTTTTAGTATTCCCACATTTTATCAGCAACATTTTCTAATCAAACATAGCTTAATGTAGACTTATAAAATAACTGTTTCAAATAGTATAATTTACATTTTTTAATTGAGATTGCTGTGTTGAAGCAGATATGGTGGCTGAAAACAGCACAGCATGTATAGCAGGATAACCTAATCATGTATTTAAAGTAGCAAAAGCTTGCCCTATGTTATGTACTCTGCAAACTAGAACAGGGTATAGTGTGCAGAAAGATCATTAATTGAATTTATGTCCTATCTTTTCTATTTTTGAAGGTGTTGGTAAAATGATCAAAGCTTCCTGATTGGTGTCAGCAATTTCCAAATGATCTGAAGGGTTTCAGGTATCAGTCTTGTTGGCTGGCTTGCATTCATCTGTCAGACCCCTGGTGATAAGTTTCTTCTCATTAAATGTTGTATACTGTAGCAATTCACAGACGCCCGCTGTATAAGTCTGGTTTGAAGATGAATTGCTGAACTGACTTTATTTTTGTGTGCATAAGTATATACAAATATAGTTCGTATTAATTTCCCAGCAGTCAGGTTTTAAGTTACTGGCCCAAAGAGGCGATGAAAATTAAAGATGAGTGTCACTTACGTAAATCAGAATCCCAGAAGCCTTTCTCCGAGCCTTGAAATTTTCTCTCATCTTATGTTTCAAGGTTGTGCTATTTCCTTCTTACCCCCACCCAAGTCAGGAAGCTGTAAAAAAGCCGGACAAGGAGCCTGTATATTGTACTTCATTTTTTAGATGCAGTTGTTTGGGCTGATGTTAGAAAAACCCTACTCAAATTATGTGATATTAGCATTCTCTGATTACTTTCTAATACATTTTTCTCTAACACATCTTATTTTTGTGATGTATATTTTTGAGCAGAAATTAGTAAACATACTGTAAGGAAATAGTCATTTTCCTTTTGGTTTATGTTCATTAAATGTTTTAAGAGCCTGTGCAGTAGCAACAATACATTCAGTCATAATCTTGTACCAATTTTAATTGTTGGCAAACTGTTTCTAATGTTGAGTGTAATTAGAAATTGAGTGTAATTTAAAGTTATTTCCTCATTAATTTATTGTATATGGTGGTTTTACTTAAGAAACAAGGTGGCATAAACATAAAGAAAAGAGTACTTATAACAGACAGAAAAAATACAATATTAAAGTACAGCAAATAATGATCAATTGCGTTTGGATTATAGCTCAGGTAGTCCTGTGGGATGATTCTTAGCAGATGGTTATTCTGTTTACCTAAAGTACATTAATGTAGGTCTTTTGCTTCCTGGCAGTTGGAATTAAATAATCTGTAATATTGATTGGTATATAAATCCCCAAAGTGTTTTCCATAATGATTTAAAAGGTTATTTCCATACTTCCATAAACCTTGTTGACTCACGTGGCTACTTTTTTCCTGCTATTCTTATTTCTGTTTTAGCTTGTTTGTCACTGTTATTCCTTACACTGATTTGAAAAGCACTTCCTGATCTTCCTTTGGTATTAACTTGCATTACATATTTTTTCCCCCATTTTATTTAGCAAAAGAATGGCTTCCTTTTGCAGATGTGAGCATGCTCATAAATGTAGTCCACCACCGATACGATTAGTGAGACTGAATTAGCTGTTTGGATTTATTCATACTATACACAGTATTTCTCATCCATCCATTCATTTTGCTGGAATAGGGCTAATGCTAATGTTTGTTATGTGTCATTTTCTTTTCTGTATACTTCAGAAAAGTAATGAGAAAGGCAAACAGAATACAAGGACAAATCATTACATCTTATTGTAAATCAAGGGATGTTACAATAAGAGTGAATACTGTACTAAGAAAACCTAATTTATAACATGAGGTTAATTTGATCACCATATTACAAAAATATATCTGCACTGAAGGAAGAGCAATTAGATAACATTCCCAGGCTTAAAGGAATGTCTTCCACTAAAAGGCTGAAAGAACTGAAATTTTTTCGTCTTGGAACAGAACAGACTGCAAGGGAACCTGATTCACGTATTCCAAATTCTCAAAGGCTCTGGTCCACAGAATCAACAGTGAAACACAAACCAGAAGACAGAAGTGGAAACTGCATGGAAGTGCAAATATATCTGAGGCTATGGGAGTCTGGATCAAGCTGCACAGCCATGTTTATGAAGCTGATACCCTGCCTTCTTTCAACAAACAACTGGATGAGATTCTTGCATAATTTAGCTGCTAGCAGGCAAACAAGGACTAAATAGTCTCCTCTTTTTGTAACTTTTCTCATATTAAATGCTTATATTTCTTCCCTACATATTTTTTCTATCTTCCTCGCATTGTGACCTTCAGAATAATATTTTAAGGGTGACTGTAACAATGTAAAAAATAATACAAAATTACACATTTTATTTTTATTACACAAAAATTTATAATAAAAACACATTTTGACCAGAAGTAAAAATTGTGGTCAAAATCCGATAGAACTTTAGACAAATAGTTTGACAAAATGTGTTTCCCTGTCTGTGTTTAGTGTTTAAAAGTAAAAAAAATGTATTAATGTGTGTATAAAATTAAGTGTGTGCTTTGCATTAAATATCGTAGTACCTCTCTATTATTATTATTATTATTAAAACTGAAGACCAGAATAAGGGCTATGTTTGGTCCTTATATGAACAATATTTACTGTGTGTAGGGAGTGTCAAATCAAATGAAACAGGCTATTGTAAAGTACATGCTTTGTAGGGAATGTAGGGATTCCAAAAAACTTTAAATGAAATAAAGATCAGAACTGTAAGACAGCTCTTACTTTTACTTTTGAAATAAGGCAGTCTTGCCTGGAATGCCAGTCTCCTTGTGGTAGTTTCTTCAAAGCGTTTTTCACTGCTGATGCACAAGAAACTGGTTAATTTACCCTGGGCTTCTATAGAAGTGGACATATGTTGCACATCTACCTTGATTAGCAGATATTAATCTCTGCTTTGTTTATTTGGATAAGGGAAGAAGAAGAATTGAATTCCTGCTGTCCACCTTATCTTACATGCTGGGGTTATTTAATGTAAACAGACTGGATGGGGGAGAGCAATTCAAGATTAATTGAAGAGGTGGAGCTTGTTCTGTGCTGTCATGCGTTACTGACTTTGGCTGGGCTTGGGAATTTGTTGGATGTTATGTGTTAAAAAGAAGGTTCTGAATTCTCTTTTAAATATAAATAGTAGTATTCAATCCTGCCATGAAGCCAGTTTCCATTTTGTTCAGTATATGTCTCATACCACCGCCAAACAAAAATACAGATGTGAACTTAAAAGCAATAATTAAAAAAAAAGTTGTGCTTAATTTGGAACAAGTGGGTTGCTTACTCTGGTTTTATTTTAAAAAAGTCATGAATGCATTACAAATGATTAAACTTTTTCTTGTATTATCTACTAGATAAATATATGACTTAAAAGTATGTATAAAAATAATGCTAAAGTAAAATTAATATTTTTGTTGCTGTTCTGTTTTGAAAATCAAAGTTTTATAGCGCCATCTGCTGGTGTATATTTTAACTCCTTCATATTATAGGAACCAAAAAAAGACAGCTTTAATAACATATTAATATAAAACAAAATTGGAGTGCCTACTTTATTCTTAAGATAAAAATTCTTAAGACTTTTTGAAGCTCCATAAAGTAAACCTGGAATGTAAAAGCTGCTTTCGTGTTGATAGTACTGTTAGTACTATAGTGATAGTAATAGTATAATAGTATAATTTATAATTCATATAAATTGATGTTTTTTTAAAATATTGTGAATGGGTAAACAACAATTATCTTACTGCATTATACTGTAACATACTGTCTAATTGCATTAAATTAATAAAAACTGTTTGCTGTTGCACTTTAAAATCACGGAGCGATTTAACAGATTTTTGGGGCGTTGATAGGGGTTAATACAGCATTACATTACACCCAAATTTTCATATTTGTCATTAAACTACTTTTTTGCTTGTGTTTTTAGGTGCAAAGATGGCCTCAAAGGTTTTACATTCTCAGCACTCAAGTAAGTGTTCAGCTTTTATAAATACTGCTTGTTTATACCACAGGCTGCCGCTTCTTGAAACACAGCCTTTATATAAACTCAGAATTAAAATAAACTGTAGTACTGTATGTGTATGTAAAGTGATAGGCAGTGTTTTATTCTAAAAAAACAACCTCTGATATTTCTCCTCCTACACTTAAAGAAACATTATTATTAAATAACATGCAGAAGTGTAGGCATTACATGTCAGTTGATAAATACTGTATCCTATTTTTTCTGAAAATTGTTTTGTTCTAAAACAAGTTGTTTAGTCTTTGGATCTAATGGAATTGTGATTGCATATCTTACCAGAACCTTACAAAAGACCAGAAACTGTAGAAACTTATTATCAAAGCCATGTCTCAGAATGCTAAATGGAAAATAAAGCTGATGTTATTTTTCTGTTATTGGTAAAATTGGACCATTTTTAAAAAATATTTTAGGTTTATAGTGGGAAAAGAAGAGATTCCAACACATTCAGTGCTGGCAGAGAGTGTCCACGCAAGAGGTCCCGAGAGGACATATCAGGATGAAGAGAGACCTGGAACACAACAGAACAAAAGCAGAAGTTCACTTGTGGCACTGACAAGGAAACTCTTAGACTCAGTGTAAGACATACTAGTGTGCACTACCGCTTAGGTTAAACGTTTTTATTTAAATATTTTGTTTTACACATGGGCCGACCTGCCCTCCTGTCAGAGCCAAGCATCTTTTGACAGGCCGCAAGTTCCAGAGAGCCTGGCAGGAGAAGGAACGCTGCCTGAAGGAGTAGCACAACTGTGGCTGATGTCACTGCAAGTCTCCAGGCACCCAGGAGAATCGCAGGAGTTGCTGTTTCGGCAAAAGCCGAGCAAGCTGTGGCAGGCTGCCCCCAGCAATGGCAGTTGTGTGTGCTGGTACTTGAGGAATCTTGCTCACAGCTGTCGAGTGACGTCACTTGCGACATCTGGAAAAGTTCTGTTTTACAAACCCATCCTATTGACGGACTTCCATGACTGTTGTTACATATCCAACTGATACACTGGAAACAGTCATTTTGTTCTTATGAAATTATTGATTGGAATTGTGTTCAAAACTGTTCTTAAGATTTCATTATAGCCTAGTGTTCGATAGCCTTGAATATTCACATTCCTTACGAAGAAAATCAGAACTGGTATGCTCTCATTTATTAGTCCTTTTGGCTTGTGCTTTTTAAATATTAGATTAGATTGCTAAGGAATGCACAATTTAAGCCTTGTAAGAAATTCCATTCCTATAATTTTCTGTCAAATGTGATGTATGTTAAGTGTAAGTTAATTGCCAAGAAGAAAAAAAGCTAACAGTGGTTTTCTTCATGAATTCCAGATGCAAGCGTGGGCCGAGGCACAGGTGTTGCAAACACTATGAAGACAACTGCATCTCCTATTGTGTTAAAGTAAGCTTTTTAACGAGTACAGAAAACTTATTTTCAAATGGGTTTCTTAACAATTTTAAATGGCCAAACCAATGTTTTGTTTTTATAGATCACTTAGGGAAGCAGAAGCTAAAAACCAAATTGGTGAAAGCTTTTTTTTTGTTTCAGCATTGAATTCATAAGAGAATGAAGGGGCATTGTTGTTATCATTTGGAAACTTGTAGTTTCTTGCTCACAGTGTTTTGATTTTAATTGATCTCTGTGATGTACTCTAAAGATTAAGTGTTTTTATGGAGAGCTCACTATTACTATTACTCCAGTTGCTTCATTTTTCTCACTGGAAAAACTCTTACAGCTGTTGTGAATAAAAATAAGTAGTGGATAAAGTTGGCCTGTTATTGTCTCTGCATTGGAATGATGAACTGGAGAATACTTTGTTCAGCCAGAAACATTGCAAACATTCTTTACAAAAATATTAAATTGTACATTTTGTGTCAAGTATCTTTCAAAGTAAGTTAGTTTGAAAATGTACAGACATACCTGGAAATCTCATTTGTACAATGAGAGTGTCTTGTTTTTGGCCACATACGTAGTTTTAGCTGTGTACATGTGTTTATGTCATTGCAGGGGTTTATTCGGATGTTCAGTGTTGGTTACTTAATTCAGTGCTGCCTGAGAATCCCATCAGCATTCCGCCACCTCTTCACAAAACCTTCCCGGCTTCTCTCTCTGCTCTACAATAAAGAAAACTTTCAGCTGGGTGCATTTTTAGGCTCATTTGTCAGCATATATAAGGTAACCTTCTGAAATCTCTTAGAAATCAACACATATGACACACCCTTGATAAGTGAGATACAATAAGCTTATTTAAAGTCACTCTAGAAAGCACATATTTACTTTTACTTTTTCTCTCCATGTCTTCTTTTTGCAAAACTCTGTATGCTCTCTTGTGTTTCATACATATGTTCCTTGATGACCTTCTTATTAAACAGGAAATTACTTATGAGGTTAGAAATACTGTGCTGTGGTTTGAGTTATCATGCTTGCCAAGATTATTTGAAGATGTCAGTGGTAGTTCAGATGTAATGACCTTTTGTGCAGACCATGGTTTCTCAGTCTTTTCCATCCCACAGCACACTTGAATAAATATAAAAATGTTGTGGTATAACGCCTCACTACTCATACATACATATCAGCGGCTCAAGCATGTGATTATAATTAGTTTTATTATAATAATAAAAACACTGATTTCAATGTTTAATCTGAGTGAGCATTAAAGTGCACAGCCACCTTATTCTGGCAGGACCTGCTGACACATACAGAGTCTTTCTCAGACACTCTCTAACTTTTTCAGTTAGACTTGAAAAACGTAACACACATCAATTGCAATTCCCACATGAACAGCCTCGCAGCAAGAGCTCTGTCTTGTTAATGCACGTGCAACACATTGGTTACGCCCCAAAATATCTGTAAACAGTGCTTAATCTATTCATTTTTTATTGTACGTTTGTGGCACATGCGTTAATGTCTGAAGGTGTACTACTGTGCTGGGGCCCACAACTTGAAAAAACACTGTCTTAGACATTACCACTAATGAAAAAATAGTTATCGACAAAGTTGTCTATTAAGAGATATTGTCCTAAAGATTCCAGTATTCTTGTGGGCCTTTAGGGATCCACTCTCATCTGTGGACCTATCTAGATTGGTGAATAAATGTCTCTTGTGTCTCTTGTAGGGCACAAGCTGCTTCCTACGTTGGGTGAGAAATCTGGATGATGAGCTTCATGCTCTTATTGCTGGTAAGGAATGCCCAACTTTATTTCCAGCTGACTCTCAGACATTATTGATACAGTTCACAAAGACATGATTATTTCTGAACTTTAAGTTTGTTTTCCCTTTTATCTATATTCTTGTGCTGGATACATGATGTTTTCACTCACACCTGGATGTCTTTCTCACAGGTTTCCTTGCAGGTGTCTCCATGATGTTTTACAAGAGCACCACTATCTCCATGTACCTGGCTTCCAAACTGGTGGAGGTAAAAAAATGTAGCAGATTTGTTTTTTTTTAAGTACAAAACCCTGCTGATGCTTTAACGTGCTATTTAAGAAATCATTCTTAATGAATATCTCTAAAGAGCTGCATATTACAGATGATCTTGTCTTCAACAGACCATGTATTTCAAAGGCATCGAAGCTGGAAGGTTTCCGTATTTTCCTCATGCTGATACCTTGATCTATGCAGTTTCTACAGCAATCTGCTTTCAAGCGGTAAGATTTGTTCTTCTTTATGGTGTAGACAGTTTTTAATAAGGTTGTTTGCAGATAAAAACGTTACGTTAAATACCTTTTTGTTATGCCTCTTATTCCTGATCCCTTTTCTTTAAATAACTGCTCTTCACAGCTGCAGTAAACTGCAAGCCAGTAACCATTTCCTGTAAAGGACCAATCTGCAATTTCCCTCACGGGATCAATAAAGTATCTATCTATCTAATCATTCATATCATGTAGGAGTTCTGGGAAGAATCAATCAAAATATGTATCAGATTGGGCTAAAACCTAACCTAACCTAACTTCACTAGGTGTCAGTACTGTAGCACTGAATACAAACAATTGAATACAATAAATACGATCAGTAATTGTGTCAGTTTAGTCATGATTTCGGAGAAAAGGACAATGCTATCTCTGTCTCTGTACATCCAGATATATCTGGAAACAGTCTTTTAGGTTTGTTCTACTAAAAATAAAATGTTTTTTGTCTTCTCTTTTTTGTGTTTAAATTCTTCTGTAGGATACAGCACATCAAAGTATACAAAAGTATACAGAATGTGGATATTAATTAAATGTTTTGACATCATTTTGATTAATTGATCGTTCACATTTGACCTGGTTAAATAAATCGTTAAATAACTTCATTAAACTGAGAGTTGATTCAGCACAGTTGATAAGGTGATTTAATTTGTTGAATGTCAAGCGTGGTGAAAATCAATAATGAAATACACAGAAAGGAACCAATATGTCTGCTTATCAAGAGAAGATCTCTTTCCTGTCATAAGTAGTTGGAGACTGAGCTATTGTGTCACCAGGAGTGTAGCCAGGTCCTCTTGAGTGATAAACCAAGGTTTTGTTTTCACCATCCCTTTTGGTGTTTCCTTACAAATGTCTTTGTATTGGAGCATACATGCAAATACGCTTTTCATTGCACTTGTGCATATGACAATAAACTGAACTGACAGCAGTGAGTTAAGGACAGCTGTATAGGAATGATGTTAATTGATGTGCAAAACAGATCAGTAAATAGTAAAGGTAACTGTTGTCAACCTGAATACACAAAACTACAGTAATAGCCCAATCTGTAACAAAAATCTTCAAGAAAGAGATTGTTTTGATATAAAGAACATAAAGTGCAAAATAATTTTAACTGGCTGTCCCCAAGCAGCCAGGTTGTAGTGTTAAAGACAGTATACAGTATATCTTCTCTTAATGCACAAATCTTAAACAGTCATCAGGGAGACTAGCTTACTGTACATTGATTAAATCCAGAGACATGCTACATGTGCCCTACAGGTTTTTCCTGATGTAATAAGTAATGCTGCTTGTGTAGAAACAGCCTTCTTGCAAGATGAGAATGTGGCAATTATCCTGGGGATACCCTGTTGGCCAAACCCACTGCACATTTATGGGATAATTTGTGACATGTAGGGCTCAGACACCAGTGAACCCAGTCTTTATGAGAGTAATAGGGCAGGCTCCCACAACACAGCTACTGTCGGTGAAGCCTGTATTTCTGCCAACATTAGGAATACAAACTATTGTCCCATTACTTTTACTATAGACTCCCAGTTGATCAGCTTCAATGATGTTAATCCACATACTGACTTTATGTACTGTACTCCGCAGTAGGTTATGTCTGTTCACCAAAATGTCACTGTATTCGCTATAAAAAATGGTATTTAACTACTTCAGTTTTAAGTGATAAAATTATTTTGAAGCTTAGTATTTTGATAAATGCATTTGACACATTATAACTATATCATATTTGAATCAACTGTGTCTAAGTAATGGAAAGCAGCTTATTCAGAATATCAGCTTTCAGTCAGTGCATTTAGACTTGTCATTTGTATAACATGCTATGAAAAGGAATCTTTAAATGGAAACTTTTACTGGAAGTCTTTTTAGATCTATCTTTGAAATGGGATATTGAAACCATTTATTTTACTGTCATTTTTTAAATACATATTTAAAAAGCAGAAGATCAGTTTCTCTTGTGGCCAGAAAAAAAGCTATTCCCCTGCATGCAAGCATGCATTAAATTGTGCTGAGAAAGTGGTAGCAGCAGGCCTTAAGTCTAACTTAGAGCAAAACCGCCACTCATACATTGGTTTGAATGTTCTAATGTTAAGGAATGGCTGTTGTGTAGGAAGATAATGCACTTTTTGAGGGTGAATACTCTTTTCCTTTATTTAGTGCTATTTTAACTGGTTCTTTTCCATTTTAGGCTGTGATGGAAGTGCAGAATCTGAGGCCTTCTTACTGGAAATTCCTTCTGAGGTTGACAAAGGGCAGGTGGGTGAAGGCTGCATAAAGGTGTTTAGGCATAGAATGTACAGTATATACTGTTAATAATGTAACAGTAACATGTACTGTATATATATTATATGATAGCAAGTTTAGACAGATTAATAAAATAATTTTCAGAGTGCAAACAGTCCAAACTTGATTTAAACTTAAGTCACTGGAGGAGAATCACAGGAGCCTGGATTTTTGTGTTATGTTTTCCAAATGTATATTAAATGAGTGTTTCAGACATTCCAAAGGTAATTATTGCTTTTGGCTCATATGACCTCAATCCTACTGTGCTCTGACACCTCATTCATTATTTTATTGTTTGAAAGAACAGTAAACCAGTGTAATGTGTGATGATACGATATATTTTTAACATTTCAACACATATAAAACCAGATACCTTGTTTTCTTCTTACAATACACATAATGTTGTAAATACCCTTAAAGCCTATTCTTAGTGACCACTAACTTCTGTACCAAAGTACTTCAGTAGGCTTCATAGATCATTACTCCAGTAGTTTTCTGTTATGGATTTCAAAAGCATAAAAAGTTAAAATGTTTTAATCATTTGCATGATTGGTTGGTCATTTTAAATATAATAAGGTATTAAAAATCCAACAAATGCGTATTGGAACCATGATCTTGTATTGCATTTTAATGCCTTTCGCTATATATATTGTGTAAGAAAAGACATGTTTTTCCAACTTTAGTACACTCTTTCTTTGTGTTGCTAGGTTTGCTTTGATGAACAGAAAAGTACTGGATGTATTTGGAACCAAAGCATCACAGGATTTCAAGGCTTTTGTACCCAAGCTGGACCCCAGATACACTGTAGTCAAACCTGAAATTGAGATTCACCTGGACTCTTGAGCTGTGGGTCATCAGTGCTGGTGAGAGAAGCACCCACAACAGGCTGTTGTCCATGGTATTCACGGGAGCACAAGTCTTTTATATTGTGTTAATTCAATGTGAAATTGTTTCTAATTCCAGGAATGCAGGAGAGTGAGGTGCAATGTTTTTGGTTTCATTCTACTCCCTTCCAGCTGCTTTGCAGATAAATCTGCAGTAATGGAAACATTGATCAGTATAAGTGATCCTCATATTTTAGGCCAGTAATACTTAATTTGAAAAAATAACATGAGTCATAATAGAAATTAAATTAAACATGCTTGTAAAAGGAAAGTATAATTAGAGTCCTTCCTAAATTGCAGCAAAAAATTGAAAAAAATAGCAGCTTGATTGCAGGAAATGTTGGGAAATAATAGAGAAATATTCTCCATATTTTATGATTTTTATATACATGTATAATTATTAGATATGTCCCCCATATTTTAGTTAGAACTTCTAATTGGATGTCATGCAAAAAGGATCTTTTTTCTTTGATGCAGTACAGTATAAATCAATGCCTAGATGGATCAGTAGCTGTAAGATGCAAACTTGACACTTGCTGCTTCAGTTTCAGAGAGAGGTCAGGGAAAACACAGCATAGTGCAGTCCATAAAGTAAATGTTGAGTCCTGAGATTATGTAACATGCAGCAGTTCCAGTACACTAATACGTTTATGGAGCATAACATAGGTAAGAGGTAGGAGCCAAGTCTACAATTTCCGTGATACCGCAAAAGTAAGTAGAGAGCTATTCATAATGCAATAAATTCAGTTGGTACAAAATATGTATTAGACCATATAGCTGCCTTCAGTTAAAATGTTTTATTGAACTCCAGTTAATATCTCTTAATGTATCCTTCATTTGTAGTTAACTTCCTTGACTACCCTAATTTAATTGTAGTTAAAGCCCACACTTGAGATAGTTGACTGTTTCAAGTGAATAACAGCATGAGAGAGGAGATGCTGAGGTTATCCAGCAAAATGGAACCTTAAAGTGTTTCATTGCCATTATGTGATTGTACTTGAAGTATAGAGAAATAACAATATAACTGTGAATACGTTGGAGCTGAAGTAGAGGTGATTCCAGCAAAAACATGTACACAGCAAGTTGGATCCAAGATGTCTTCTGTGAGGCATGATTGCTGGATTTTGTTGCTAGTAGAATATATGTATGACATATCAATTTCCTTACAACAGTAACACTGTATAACAAGGTTTAGTATATCAACTGTTAATAGACACCTTGCAGATATGTGCAAACTTTAGTAAGTATTAACAACAGAAGAGAGTGTATGCAGCATAATCTAATAATTGTTTTTACTCTGTTATACTTTCAAGACAAAACATGACAACAATGTTGTCAAGACAAGGCAATGTTCTCAATTAACTCAGAGCACATACTGTTTTAAACTGTACTGCAATACATTATTTGAAGGCTACATGGGAATATGTACTGTAAAAACCTTATAAAAAGTCTATTAACAGTTTTTATGCTACAGTGTATGTACTGTACATAATTTGCAAAGGTTAGTTTAGCATTCCAATTATTGAATTCTTGTTATAAAGTTTTATAACTTTTAATGCAACATACTGGGTAATGTGAAAACTGAAAAACACATCAGTAGAATCAGAATGGATCTGTAGTAGTTAAATCCGGAAATTCACTTCTATTCAGGTGTCTTTTCCATCTTCTACAAAACTGCCCTGTACTTTAACAAACTAAATTATTCCATTGAGGTAAAATTTTCTTTACCTTTTTTTCTGTGATTGTGGAAGATTAATGGTGAAAATCTACCAAGACAAATTATATCTGTTGGTAGACATGGATATGGAAAACAATTTGGTGTTCATTCAGAATTTAAAACAAAAGTCAAGCTGATTGTGAACTGGAATAAAAGCTATGGACATTTCTTATTCTAAAAAAATTTTTTTTGTGTGTTTGAATCACTTCTACGGACAGGGTTAAAACAGAAAATCAGATTAATTGTTCTCTTGTGAATGTGGTCCCCCTGTTTCAAATATCAGTGTTTTCTGCTTTCTGCTGGACTGTGTTTTTGCTGAATTATGCAATGGTGTATAAAATATATACTTTTAAAATTATATACCTTATTTGAATATAAAAAATGTTGTTAATGTACTCAACGTATACAGGGTAATTTGGTCAAACACATTGCCAAGTTTTTAAGGGTTTCATGCTCTTTTGGGCACTTTTTACTGTACAAAACAAAACAAGACCTCCAAGTAGATTTCCAGAAATGAATTTATATGCTTTGTGAGCTGTCAGTCTAACCGTTGAAACCACATAGTAGTTATTTATTAAGGCCAGTTCTACAGCACAATAAGATATTTTAAAAACTGAGTTTCTAAACTCTGTTCAGAAAAATATGTACAGTAATAGGAAAAATGAATTTCAATAATATGTATTATTTTATCCATGTGCAATAAATAGAATGGACATTTTAAATAAAATGTCCTGCATCTACAAAACATACCAATGAATGGGTAGTAGTACATATCACTACATTTGCAATGCATTACTAACGAACAGGTAGTAGTACAGTTTTTAATTGCCAGTTGTTGCCAAACCATGGAAAAATGTAAAATCTGCACCCTAAAACTTCAAAAACTATCTGTACTTATTAACTATAAAAATAGAACCTTGTAGCTGCCTGCTCTGTCAATTACTTTTAATGGCAATGATTAATATTAATAATGCTTATCTGTCCTTGTGAATGAAGGCTCATCAGGCTTAATTTTAATGTGTGGTTTTTGGTTTTGCCAAGTACTGTATGTCATTGAGAATAACCTAATTTTAGAATTCCATTTGTAAAGTTACATATGGATCTTCTGCAGCTTTCTTGTATAGGCTTGTCAATAAACTAAATAAAGACCTTGAATAAAGACCTTGAATATCCTACAGTAGGTCTGGGAGGACAGGTTCATTCCAGTATTTTACAGGAATAATTTATCCATGAAGCACAGGATGCATGTAGGTGCCCGAATTGCGCATGTTACATTTCAAACTGACTGCTTAGGAATGTACCTAAGGATTTGTTAAAGCTCACAGTTAATCAGTTTTGTCTTCAAAAAAGGATTTTGAATCTAACAGGAGATATACAACAGTATTTAATTTAGGCCCCATTTTTTAAGACCTGAGGAATCTGGCATTTTAAAGATACTGTACTTTATTGTCAAATGTTAATATAATTATAATTTCTTTTAATGTAAGAAAAATGCATCAAACCCTTCTGAACTGATTTTCATCAATTAATGGATTAGACACCACCCACTATATCAAGAAGTATAATTTTTGTAAAAAGTAAATATTGTAGATAATGTAACTTTTTAATTTACAAGGTACTATATACAGTTATCTTTGTACAACTGAAGCTCATGTTGTATTGAATTGTATTTACAAATAAATATCTAATGCAATATACTAAACATTGTACTGTTGGTTACTGCTTGGAATTTAAGGTTTTATTAATATTTATTTGATTACTATTTTTGCTTTGTGATAATGAAGTCTTGTCTTTTTTCCTATCATTACATTTTGTTGGAGACAAAGATACAGGAAGGAAACTCTTTCTGCTCCAGCCGTTACTAATACTGGCTAATATGGACACTGTTAATATAGTAATAAATGAAATCATATTACTCTCTAAGGATATATCAGAACTGTTTGTGGCAAAATATTGCACTGAAATGGAAAGTTATGTCATAGATAACATATCAACTGTTGATCTCAGTATTTTTGGCAGTTGTTTTGCACTTACAGTACTCTTGAAATGACCTGTACTTGGGTGGCAATGTGGCATAGTGGTTACCTGCCGCCTACCCATTACTGCCTTGCAACATTGGGGCCCTGGGTTCAAATCCTAACCTGGGCTGCTACCTACTGTACGTAGAGTTTTTACGTTCTTCCTGTTTCCAAGGTTTCCTCTGGGTGCTTCAGTTTCCTCCCATAGAACAAAAACATACTGGTAGGTTCAGTGGTTTCTGGAAAAATTGTCCCTAGGTGTGTCCTGTGTTTGTCTCTGTGTGTCTGCCCTGTGATGGACTGGCATCCTATCCAGGGTGTACCCTGTCTTGCCCCATTGCCTGCCAGGGTAGGCTTCGTCACCCCTGTGACCCAGAATTGGAAGAAGCTGTTCGAAAATGGATGGATGGGTTCCCTGTACTTGAAGAGATTTGGGCTGCATGGGAAATGGCAAGGGATTTGCATGAACCCTGGTTAATACAGTAAGTCTTTGTGTTTGCGTGTTTGAAATGGAAATTCTTCAGCTACTAACTTCAAATGGATTTAATTATATTTTCTATTTGCTAGGTGCTATGCTTTTCCATATCAAACAAATTCTGGAAAAAAAAAGCAAAATGTAATGGGGAGAATCCATTTTCTTAGTGTCAATGAGTGTACAAATTCACTTTGATCATCAAGTCTTTCAATTGCTGGTTCAATTAAAGCAAAATGAATACCCTTTAGAGTTAGTAACAAAACTGTTTACAATCCCTTATTTCTTTAAAGTAGTGTTTTGCATTTCATTTCAATAATCAGGCATTTATGCATATTAAGTGTTACTTTCCATGTACAGTATATTTCCCCAATAAGATGGGCTATTATTGTTGAAAGGACAAAACTGTTTATGGTTGGAAGTTGTACTGTAAGTTTAGTGCTGGAATTATAATACTAAAACATCCAATGTAAACTGTAGATTGGAGAACGTGCCCTGATAATGGATAGTCATCATACACGTAGACAGTCTTTTTACACTAAGTATGGTGTTTTTTGTTTATACGTGTAAAAACAGGCTTAATTGAATGAGCATATTAGGTTGTACTTGGCTAGATATCCATAAATCCCATAAATGTAATACCATTTGCTGCCAACCTCTTATTATTTTCTCTTTTTAAAATATACAATGTCAAAATGTATCAACACCCCGAACACCCTCACCAACCCTAACCTTGTTGTCACCATACTTTCTGACCTTTCCCATTAACACCCCAAAATGTATGTTAACTAATTGTATCTGTTTTGAAAAACTGACAACATAAATTTAATATTTTTAGTGTGCTAAATAATTGATGCATCAAGAAATCATGGGACAAGCACTTTCCCGTGTGCGAACGTTTGTTATTTACAATACAGAATTTAAAAGCGCATAGTTTACAACTAGACCCATTCAAAAATGATAGTTGGTACAAAAATACTTTGAACTCTGAAAATAACAGAGAGAATGTTCAGAAATGATAAAAAGTGGTTTAAACATCCTCTATATGATTCCACTCTATAATTACTACAGTGCTGGATAATTAACAAATCCAGGTTTGACTCCAGAGTGGGGAGATGTTTGCATTTTTTCATGGGCTTACAATGGTTTTCACTGGATGCTTTGGTTTCCTCCCATCCTCCACATGCGG